GTTGGGAGCAAAGAGGAAGGATCAGTAGTTGGAAAACATGGCGTTGGTGATAGAAATGATGCTAGAGGACCCCTTAGTGAAGGATTAAACTGAAATAGGGTTGTAATGAATCAGAATAAAATTGAGGGAAAGGGGTGGTCCTTAAAGGAGTCTTGGTGGCACAGTACATAAGTACTTGGCTGCTAACTAAAAGGTTGACAGTTCAAACACACCAGTCTCTCCACAAGAGAAAGATGTGCTAGGCTGCCTCTATAAGGAGCTTTGGTAGTGTAGTGGTTACGAATCGGGCTGCGAACTGCAAGGTCAGCAGTTCGAAACTACCAGCTGCTCCATGGGAGAAAGATGAAGTATTCTGCTCCTGTAAAGATTAACAGCCTCGGAAACCTCTTCAGGGTCACTATGAGTCGGAACCGACTTCCCGGCACATAACAACAACAACAACAACAACAACAGGCTTCTTCTATAAAGAATGTTACATGCCGTCGAGTCAGTTTAGATTCATAGCAACCCTGTACAGGGTTTCTAAGGAGCGACTGGTTGGTTTGAACTGCCGACCCCGTGGTTAGCAGTTCAGTGCTTATCTTACAGGGCCACAGCCTTAGAAAGCCTGTAGGCAGTTCTGCTCGGTCCTAAAGGGCCGCTCTGAATTGGAACCCAGTCCACGACAGTGGGTTTATTTTAATTTCTATTTGTTTTTGTATCAGAACCAAAGTAGTTTTAGCCTCCCAAGACCCATGACTATGAATCTGACTCACGGTGACCCATGTGTTACAGAGTAGAACTGCGCCATACGGTTCTTTTGCCTATCATCTGATGGAAGAAGGTTGGCAGGCTTTTCTTCTGCAGCACTGTGGGATGAGTTCAAACAGCCAACCTTTCAGTTAGCCTAAAGTATTTGTGTCAGGCCTCTAGCGTAAGTTTCACAGTCCCCTTGGGGTTTTTTTTGTTGTTGTTTTTTGCTTTCTTATCTAATTCTGGATTCATATGGAATTATCTGTTCTCAGAGAGGCTTCTGAATTGAAGAGGAATCAGGTTCCAGAAAACCTGGACCCATCTCTGGAACCTGAAGATTGATGCACCTAGAGAGGCATTGTTCCGTTTTCATGGCTACGTAATATTCCGTTGTAGGGAATTTAATCAGATTCCCTGAAGGGGCAGGTCATGTGGTTCCAAATGCTCTATATGCCTGTGAATGGGTATATGGGCAAATCCCTTTGAGCTGAGGGTCAGTGAGTTTCAAGTAGTGGCTGCTTATCATCAGTTTGCCTCCCTTGTTGTTGTAGTTGTTAAGTGCCATAGATTCAGTTCCAACTCATAGCAACCCTGTATAGGGTTTCTGAGGAACAGCTGGTAATCAGAATCACCGACCTTGCATTTCAAACCAAACATGCAGTCCAGTGCACTGTCCTACAGCGCCACACCAGGACTCCTTGCCTCCCTTAAAGACTTTCAAAAAGCTAGTTGCTATGGAGTTGATGCTAACTCACAACGGTCCTTATGTGGATAAGAGTACAACTGTGCTCCATAGAGTTTTCAATGAAGGAATTTTCAGAAGCAGATCAATGCTGTGAGGTCTTTCTTCTGAGTCTCCTCCAAGGGCACTTGAACTTCCAAGTTTTCAATGGTACCAGGGAACCTTAAAAAGGCGATTGAGTAAATATTAAATAAAGTTTAAACTTGCAGCCCTACGATCTCCCTTGGCCCCTCACCCCTGCTCCCGTGAGCCCCAATAGGCCAGGCTCTCTCTCACCTCCAGATCTTTGCATTTGCTGTTCTCGCTCTAAGTGTTGCTCTTTCCCCAGACTTCCTGGTGAGCTCTTACATAACCTTCAAAACCCAATTGCTTTGTCCCCCTTCCATGTAGAACCAGCCCAGGATCCCAACTCAACTCCACAAGGATGGAAGCATCTGTAACTGGCTCTGCCCAGACTGGGGAGATGGAGCTGGCGGTGTCAATGTGGGACTGCAGAGTCCTTAGAGCCTGTCCCACCCTCCCCAATGACCCTTAGTGACGAGAAGAGCAGGGACTTTGGGGTCAGACCACATTTGTCAAATCCCAGCTCTGCTATTTTCTTGCTGAGAGTCACTTGGTCTCAGTTTTCTCATCTGGAAAATGGGAATAATACCGATCAAGTGCTCAGGTTGTTGGTTTGAATCCACAAGCAGCCCCATGGAAGAAAGACCTGGCAATCTGCTTCAGTAAAGATTATCGTCGTTAGGGGCCATTGAGTCAATCCCAAATCACAGTGACCCAATGTGACAGACGAGAACTGCCCCACACGGTTTTCTAGGCTCTCGTCTTCACAGGAGGAGCAAGCAGATCCCTAGGTCTTGCTTCCACAGAGTCGCCGGGTGGGTTTGAACCACCAATCTTTTGGTTAGCAGTCAAGTACTTAACCACATGTACTTCCAGGGCTCCTTCCAAGAACACCCCATGTTGTTGTTGTTGTTGTTGTTATGTGCCGTGGAGTAGATTCTAACTCACAGCGGCCCGGTACAGGGTTTCCGAGGCTGTAAATCTTTATGGGCGAAGAAAACCTCATCTTTCTTCCGCGGAACAGCTGGTAGTTTTGGACTGTTGACCATGAGATTAGCAGCCCGATTTGTAACTACCAGAGCTCCTTAAGAACACCCCATTTGTTGTTATTGTAGGGGCCATAGAGTTGGTACCGACATAATGACCTTATGCAAAGCAGAATGAAACATTGCCCGATCCTGGGCCAACCTCACAATTGGTGCCACGCTTGAGTCCATAGATGCTGCCACTTGGCCAGTCCATCTTGCTGGGGGTCTTCCTCTTTTTCTCTGACCCTCCACCCT